CACTTTGGACCTCATGGCATGGGCCTATTTCCGCTACTAAATTATTCTGAATATTTTTTTTAATTAATATATTTTTAATGTTGTAAGTAGTAAATTAGATTTGTTTCATAAGTAGCACCCTCCCAAAAGGGTTGCTACAAAGATAAACATAGTAAAACCCAATATAGTGAATTCAGCCTCGCAGTAATGTCATTGTAATACTTGAGAAATATTCAGATTGGAGTTGGGGTAGTTAAAGGTACCGTATGAGTATTACGGGAATAAAAGAGAGTGCCACTGGGAAGAAGTCAAAATATCAGTTCAGAAGCAACCCTACAAGCACAAGGGCGTGGAGATAAGTAACTACAGATAATTATAGGCAAGGAAGGACATCAAAAGGTCCGTCGAGTATACAATGTAATAAGCTCGCAACTTTATAAGAGTCAGAAGGTCCTCCCTAAATACTACAATGAAAGACTAGCTGAGGAAATAAGGAAGAAGGTTTCAACCTAAGCACAGTGACCTAAAGAGGAAATGGTCATGTAAAATAGTCTCACTACAATATTATATGCACTCCATAAGAAAGTGGTCCAGCACCTATCGTGGCTAATGAACGGGAAGTAAAATCAAAGGTAGGATTCGAGATCATATGAGTTGCACAAAAATTCCGGCATGCGTGTGAATTTAGATAAGCTAAGTATGTACGCAACAAGGGGGTAGAAAGATCAGGAAAAGTAATAGCTTACGTTTAAAGAAAGCTGAGAAGAAACGAAAGGAATTATTCGATCAATAATCCAGAGTTAGTTACGTTATGAACGCATTTAAGATTTCGGAGTATTATCCATGCAGCATATATGTTGGCAATCATACAGCCGTAGAAAACTCCAGTATAAGTTAAAGGAAAGAATTGAGTTCAGGCCATAGACAAAGGATTGAATTATTAGAAGATTGTATCATGGATATTCCATAGCGCCCATAAAAGGCTAAAGAAATAACTAATACCAGGAGAGCCTACAGAAGGAAGAGGAAACTAAAAAGTTACACCAACTAAGTAAATCAAGAGTCTGATTATTGAACCCAGGAAATTATAGACCTCGTGATTGAGAACATTGCAGGATCACTCTTAAATATCAGAAGTACAAGAGAGATAGTACAGTAGCCATATTCTATAACAGCTCTACGATAAAGCCAGATAGAAGAATACCAGCCTCATAAGAAGTCAATATGAAGCTCCCAACGGATTGTGTATGCACCAAAGGTGCAAGTATTATAATAGAGCTTCAAATTGTGGATGTGAATGATATCTATGTGGAGGGGAGGTCATGAAAGAGATAGAAGATGTGATGCGAGACTTTAAGGTAAGTAAGGTAAAGGTGGACAACATACGAGATACTCAAATACAGAAGGTTGTGAATAGTCCATACTTCGGATAGAAGGCTAGAAGTGCTAGGATTCAATATCCAAGAATGATAGCGGCGTCAACAGTGGCATATCTTCCAACCTATGGTTTCTAAATATCGAGAGGTCTAGCTAAAAGAGTAAAGAAGAGTTAGAGACGATGTGATGTCTCGCTTGATGTTCCAGAATAACACAAGGAAATCTATGGTGCAAGCAAATTGAAGAAAGGTTGCGAGTAGTATAAATAGACATATATAGGTCGCAAGCTAAAGTATGGTAAAGCGACAAGGTTTTAGGAAGACATGAGTAAGGACAAGAAAGGGCGAGTGAAAAGGTGACGAGAAATGGATAAGTCCTCGGGATTAAGCCCATGAACACAAGAGAGCTAATGGTTTCTCTAAGTTATAGAAAGCTCAGCATAGCCTGAACGAACTCAAAGGAGTCTAAGACTAATAGCATTTAGGAGAGATGGAATACTACCTTGGTAGTAGAATGAGAGTGTAATTGCGATAAATAAAGGATGAAATTTGGGCCTTCGATTGAGTAATGATTTTATGAATTCTACAGGATTAAATACCCACGTAAATGAATCACATTGGGATGCTATAAAATACGGTTATTGAAGTACAGTATCACCGCTAAATGGATCAGGAAAATCACTTCAAATATTCCTCGATGCAACGTAAGCCCTAGTGGCAAGGTATTACGTAAGAAATTTCAAGTTATCAGTGGTATATTGTAGAACAATATTGAGGTGAATCAACGATGGATGGACAAAAGACACAAAGTATGAGATGAGAGTGGGCCATCAGTCTTAAGATAAACAGTAATGAAGAAGCGTTAAAGGACTTAGATTTATACATATAAGATAAGCAACGAGAGTAACCTGGAGTTTGGTAGCAGACCTCAGTGACGATAAAGATAAATCAAAGTAAGAGTTATGGTATAGTATGACCTACCTAGATGCAGTAAAGTCATACGGATTGATAACTGGGTCTACGAAATAAAATATAGCAATATTCGTAAGTTCGACAAAGTACCGAGCAAAGAACTTCAGTACACCTATAGATGCCCAGAGGGACATCTTATCAAGCTCTATATATGTTTGCAAAGTGAAGCCTAGAGATTGGCTAAAAGCCGGAGGAAAAATGAGAGAAAAGCCGCATAGGCGCACTTAGAAGGTCAGAGTTGTACATGTTGCATGACAGAAGGTAGCAACAGTTACGAGATTGGAAGGATTCTGATCACAAGTCATGGTATGAGAAAGAAGCCTAAAGGGGGGAATGCCCTGGCCTTTGGATTTATTCATAGAACAGTTGCCTAGATGGCAAGGAGAGTACTAAAGTATTCGCAAGAGCTATAGGTTATGAAAATGATAAGTGCATCAGTCAACATTCGAGGATGAATATTCCAAAGGGGGGAATGATGTTACACCCCATATTTTTGTACGTGAAAGTATGTCATAAGTAAATTGATGGAATTTCGAAAATGAGATGTTACATCCCGCATTTTCGTATGTTAAAGTTTCGTCGTAAGTTAATTGACGTAAGTTCGAGAATGAGATTATTTTGAGATTATAAGCATTATGCTACTTCGAACAAGTGATGTGTAAATTCGTGAAGGTGAGAGGGTAAGCAAATCAAAGAAAATAAATTTCGTCGAAATTTGACAATTTGGGATAAAATATGGTCCGAGCTATAATACCCGGTATTTATAGACTAGTACCATACAAGGTACCGCATGACCATGATAGTAAGGCGTATAAAGTGTGTTAAAAGTGAGTAGCATTTTAAGTAAGTTGAGATAATTCTTACTTATGTGGATATTTGGTTAATTATAGATTTTTGGGAAAAGATTAGTAATTAATTAATGATAATTTTGGATAAGCTTAAGGTGCCTAACGTGGCAGCCCAAGCAATGACTCATTAGTCATTAAAAATAGGTGGCGCATCTAAGGAATTTGGTGGCCAAATCATTTCCTAATGTGAGGCCCACAGAACCAACAAATTTAGAGGTTCCTTATCTCATTAAGATGCTAAGCTTGCTAAGAACGGATGGAGCTCACCACTTTTAAAGATCTCTCTATCTTGGAATCTCTTTTTATCTTTACTTCATTAAGGAATTCATACGAGATTATCAAAGAATTCGTAAGTAACGGATCTCTTTATCTTGGAATCTCTTTATCTTTACTTCATTAAAAAATTCATACGAGATTATCAAAGATCTCTTTATCTACAAGCAACGGGTCTCCTTCAGCACAAAATTCATACGAGATTATCATGTAATAGCAATGCGAGATGCTATTCTAATAGAGCACGGTACAATCTTTCTCAAGAATATCATACGGATTTTTCCCTACTTCGATACGTCGTTACATATTTTTCGCAATAGACATGTGTTAGAGGGATTGTCAAGAGAATCGGCTCAGGTATGTTAAGGCTATCCCTTCTTTCCTTTTGGCATGATCCAAATGATACAAATGAAACGAGCAAAATACGCAACTTTCATAAATGACTCTATTCATAGAAATACTAGGGGTGTCTATATTCTTGATTCCCCATGTGTCTTATTATTCTATCATTTGTTCATGGGTCTCAGAAAATACGTAAGTTGATAAAGTTTATTTCACGATATTAATCAAAGACATAATGGTCTTATGACATTCCGAAAGATGTTATTGACGTACTTCTCATGCATTGCATTCATTTATATATGTACATTGACCCATGACCAAATGGTGCTATATACGCGTATATATGTATATGGGATATGAGAAAAGGTTATGGCATTATATACGCACCACCACCTGATCAGCTGGTATACGTTGATGATTTTGCCCACAGTGGCCTAAAAGATATGATGGGATGCCCTCACATGCTTGATGATATTATGAACGCATATACCTATGCATGGTATGAGATTTATACGCATATGCATGAGATTGTAAATATTAATAATTCATAGAGTTGTTCAGACTTACATGTTGAGTTTTTTACTCCATGTTTCTCTCATGTCTATTATTTACTGATTTTCATTCCTTACATACTCGGTATATTATTTGTACTGACGTCCCTTTTGCTGGGGGGCGCTGCGTTTCATGCCCGCAGGTCCCGATAGATAGGTCGAGAGTCCTCCAAGTAGGCTATCAACTCAGCGAAAGATGTTGGTGCGCTCCATTTGCTCCGGAGTTGCTTGTTTGGTCAGTATGATTTAGACGTCTATTGTTTGGTATGGCGGGGCCCTGTCCTGACCTTTATGATAAGTATATACTCTTAGAGGCTTATATACAGATGTTATATATACGGATACTTGCATGGCCTTGTCGGCCTATGTTTTAAGTATATAAAGGATCACATTGGCCTTATAGGCATGTATGTCACAGGTATGAGTTTCTATATAAGGTTGGGTCGTTCTATGTCAGGTATTCCCTCATGTTTACTCTATTTATCTCATGACGCCCCTTCTGGCCCATTTACCTATGATGATGTAATAGGAAAGATACGATTACGTTGGTACTCGGTTGAATAAGGTACCGGGTGCCCGTCGCGGCCCATCAGTTTGGGTCTTGACAAGTGACAATAATGACAATCCATCATTACACATCTTAATAAAGATCTCATCATTCATGGAAATAGTNAAGCTCCAGATGACTGATGACCCATAGATACGAGCATCTGCTCTATACCAATTTTGGACAAGCTTTTTTCTCCTTCTTTCCCAATCATTTCCGTCATAGGAATCCTGATCAAACTAGACAGTTAGAAATTCATATATCCTAACAAGTTCTTTTCCTTTTTATTAGTACATCTCCTGGCTATTTTACTTCTAGATTTCAACAAATCTGGCCTTTGTTGTGTTATAATTCATATATATGGATCAGATTCTTATTCATATCCTGAAATCAATTCCCAGATTTTATTTAAAAAATTGTCATATAGCAAGGCAACAACTTGTTTCTAATGCAAAATGTGTAATTGGAGAACATACTCTTCTTGAATAGGCAAGGATTTGTCTTCTGAAGTAGTCGACTTCAAGTCCCTCAGAACAATTTTGTCAGGTAAAAGTGAGTGCATTCTGTAGACGCTAACAAATTCTTCAGTCAACGAGTAGGGAGTCCCGTGATCTCTGGGCCTTTTAAGACCAACTAATCCACTCAGAATTGGTCCAAACTTAGGTCCTAACAAATCCTTGATTTTCTTCCCCAAAAGTCCATACCTGAATCAAAGTAGACTCTGTTAATTAACATTAATAGTTAATGTTATGGTCATTCGCAATGCTAAGCATGATGCACGACATTTTAGAAGATCAAGACAACTAAGTGAATACTGGGAAGCTGTTTGTTAATTCAACCACAGTAGTAGCAGCAGTATTTAGCAGTGGGCTTACCAGTTGATCCTTGTTCCCGCAACTACAGTATCAGTCTTAGCAAGTTCAATTGTCAAATCAAGGGTATGGATTTTAGCAATGACTGCTGAAGTTATCAATCTTGCATGTCGATACAGCTTTTCATCATCAAATTCAGGGTAATGCTCCTGAAACAAAAATCAGGCTTTTAATCAAACTCGGTTCTTTTAAGGTGCAAAATTATCCTGAAGAAGCTGAAAAGAAAAGCATACTTTTAGCATATCACATATGGCATTATGTTCCTTCATAAACAAGGCCTGCAACAGAGAGAAGCCTGCCCAATCGTTACGAACATCTCCAGATATTGGAATGCCATTATCGTCATGTTCAAGAAGTCCATCTCCTGAGACCCTGAGCTTTCCACCTTTAAATGTTCTCACCCTAATCATGCCCTCCTTATTATTCCCATATATTACACTCCCATCCCTAGCAAAACAGTAGGAACATATATAATTCATCAGATGAAATAAAACTCCATCACTAGACTAACTTCCAATCTGCATTACAATGAAGTAAGAAATCCAATTGAGTTCCGATTGGACAGTGTGGACATGAGTTGACCAGCGTATATGTCAACAAGGAATAATATTTCCGCCTCCTTTCCCCCTCCATCTCCACCGTAGTTGTTACTTCACTCTTTTAGCATGCTACTAAGCAGCACTTTGATACAGTATTTAGTTGAGTTTACTATTGATTTTAATAGAATCTATTTTGCTTGACTGAATATAACATGCAACAGTCNATACGAAAACTCTTCTGTGTCATATTTCTTGCCATTAACTTCTCCAACATGTAAGAGGTTGTATCGCTGGTGTAAGTGTCTTCTTAGTCCTAGGTAAGCCAACCCGAGTAACACTGGTAATCTATGCCATAGATCAAACTTGTCCAAAAGATGTACCACCTGACATATCAAAAACAGGAGCATCAGTAAAAACAACATTCTAGTTTGTAAAGCATAATATCACATGGTAAAAGAAGGGAACAGAGAAAACTAACATAGAACAAGATTGTGTCAAAGAGAGACATCTTCGCTACAACATGCCGGAGTTGAGGGTGAATAAAGGCTGCAAGAGAAAATGAGAATGCCATGAGAGTTTCTTAGCTGTTGACCTGTCAATGAAACAAAGGATTAATTCAAGAGGTTGGTTATGAAGACTGAGAGGGAAGATAGCATTTAAAAGAGTTGAACCAGTGTCAAACCTGTCCTGTTTCCTGTCTTCAATTACTCATATCTGTAGGCCCAATCAAGATTGCTGCAATCAACTGTATTCAATTAATCTTTTTTATATTATAAGTGACGCAAATCGAAGACAAGTGTCCAATAGCTCGTTATGGTGATATCTTAATTTTGGAACTGATGAGAAACATATGTATAGTGATTCTTTAATTTGACGAGGATTAATTACCAGTAAACAGCCAAAAGGACCGGTTTTTGAAAGCTACTTAGAACATTAACATCAGAAACATTCTTTTCGTCTTTCATATTTAGAGTAGTTAACTATCCATAAATGATGCTCTTAAAGAAAAATATCAACATCTGATCAAATATTACTCCCATATCCTTCTGACCTTCTCTATCCCCTTTAAAGCAAAACAATAGTAACACTTTTATGTGCTTATTTGACTCGAACTATGTATACATACAAAAAAATATTATACATATATACTAAGATCACGTTTACTGAACACACGGGCAATGGGTTCAACTGAACCTAATACTTTGCACGAAGAGAGTATATTTATATGTGAAAATTCACAAAAATTGCAACAAATAGTAGGTCTGAACCCATAATTTTGAACATATAGTACGTCCAATGCTAGAAAAACCTAAAGATTGACCCATAAAACTTAAACTTATATCCTAAATCCGCTTTTGTCTATATACTAGATTCTCCTATGCTCTCAAAGAAGAAAAATAAGAAAACAAACTTTATAAGAGCGATGCAAGTAGTTGGTAAAGAATTTCATAGCAAATTAATTACCTCCAAACTAACGAACCAGTTGAAGAATAAGTAAAGCCAGCATCAGCTTCTTGCTCTAGGAAATGTGATGCAAGAAATTGGTAAAGTGGAAAGCAACATCTATATATCTGTCTACTTTTTCTAAAGCCTTTTCGAGCATTATTTGATCTATTGATGTTCACACATTATTTTGGGAACAGTAACTTCGTATGAGATTCAAAGAAGCTGAAGTGACGCTTTCATAACACGTCCACAATATTCCAAATTAACTAAACCCCATTGTATGAATTTCGTTGGGTCTCTTTCTTGTTTCCCTTTTCTCAGTAGAAGTTGCATTATCCTGGGTATTAGACTATTAGTGCATGTTACAACTATTCTGCGTAACTCGTCCTAACTCAATAATTGAGTAGATATCTCCTATGTTACTTGTGTCGTCATTTAAAGTTTAAATTCTATAAAGCGATAGGTTTAAAAGATAATTGGCAATAACTCTTCATAATAATGACATTAATAATTACTCATCTTGCACGACGTTATGTGGCGACCTTTTCATCACCAAATGAAAATGTTGTGTCGCTGCAATAGATAGTTCAGCTGCGGATAACATGTTCCTATTTTGAGCAGCAACCTACCATAAATCTATGTTTACTTTTTGGTGAGCAAAGCCGCCACCAAAAAAAATGTGGAGACTAAAATCGCCATAAAAAAGTAAACAAAATACGCCACAAATATGATTGCAGGTAGGCTGCCATTTAAAACGGTGGCATATATTTACTTTTGGTGACAACTAAATAAATCGCCCAGAATATCATCATTGAAAACCTCATTTCCTGTAATGTTGGATCGGATTAGATTAATAACTTTGTGTTAATAGCTACGACCTAATTAACCTTCTTTTGAACTTGAAAAATAAAGTATATTACATGCTACAACAATTTAAGTTAAGTTAAATGACATCTAACATTCTAACTACGCCTTATTGTTTACCTGTAAAATGGTACAATTGAATTTATACATGGTTTCTAGACAAGTGAACTAATTTGATCCTGAAATAATACAATAATTGAAGAAATGTATAATACTTAGCCTTGAAATGTAGATGAAACAACAGAGATGACAGTTCCGGGAACAAGGTTTCTGGGCACAGCAATGATGAGATCAAAGAGCAAGAAAATAAGATTGTATTAAGCTTTGTATAGAATATAGTATAAGTTTTGTCAGAAAATTTGTCCCCTTTCTAATGATAACTGAGCTTACTACTTATAGCTATGTCTAGGGAAGGAGATCCTAGGATCGTGTCCTCCTTTAATGTCAATTATGAGGGTCATTGATGAGAACGTAAGGGTGAACATCAATGCCAAATTCTCTGTAACAGACCGTCGCTCTTAATGCTGCAGAATATTCCCTATTAAATGCCACCGGGCGCAAAGCATTTAACACACCTTTATGAACGTTATCCTTTCCGGTGACAAGCGGAATGGCTGTGTTCGGTATTCGGCCATCCCAGTCTTGGGTTTCACATGTCCTCCCTTTAGACAACTACGTGTCATGTCATATTTCACCTTATACAAATAATCCCTCTGCTTTCTGGTGACATAAATTTGTGTTACCGAGAAGCTGGTAGAAACACCTTTTTGGTAGGAATTATTATCTCCCTCTGAAGGTTCCTGAAATTTGATTAGATATACGTCTCTCCGCATTTAATGTTCCGAACACGTGTCATCCCATGATTCAACACAACTTTTGCCGATTATCGAGGCCAAGAATTTAGCCGCCAAAATTTTACTTATACGCGACATTCTTTTCCTTTGCGTTTCATAATTTCTCGAGCTTCTGATTTGTATCTTTGTTTTCCATCCTTTCTCTAATTCTCTTCAAACACAAAACCTTTTCCTTCTTCTTTATCAATGGCTTCTTCCTCCAAGCGTGCTGGTTCTTCAAAGAACAAGAATAAAGCCGAGGACTTTGCTCCTCCAACGGTGGATTCCATTATCCCAAAAAAACTCAGTACCACAAAGGACCTTTAAGAGAAATTTTCTACTACTAACCCTCGTACATGGGTTGTTAGTAGGTACCCTCCTTCCATTCGTCCTTCCAGTATTCCTGTTGTGAAGGAAGACTACTGCTGCCATGAGTTGGATATCATTGCTCCTGAAATATTGGAGCGAGTGACCCTTCCCAAGGAAGGTTTTACATACTTTTACACGTATCCCTTTACTTTAGGTGTGTTTCCTTTTAGTAGAGAGCTTAATTTCGTGATTGCAGAGATTTGCCTTCGCTACCAAGTGTGTTTGGCATAGGTAAGTCCTTCAGTGTGGAGGACGGTCGCATGTCTTCGACGCTTGTGCTAGAAAACTGGAGAGGAGCTAACCTTAGCTCATATGATGAATCTCTATTCTCCCAAAATCTTCCGCGGGGGAATGATAAACCTCTGCAAGCGTGGCCACCATACTTTGCTGTCTAGCATGGATGATGATAACGACCGTGGGTGGATAGAACGGTTCATTGCAGTCATCACCAATGACATCATTCTGATAACGGCTTCATCCTTTCCGATCGCTTGGAACCGCACTCGTAAGCTTTTTGTTTAGTATTTCTTTTTACTAGATATTTTTTTTGGTTGTATCAACTCTTCAACCTTCGTATGTTTCAGTAACTCGATGGATCCCACCGATGGTGGAAGGTTTGGACCGGTGAGTTCAGAAGATCTTGGACGTCACGACGCCCGAAACTCGTTTGTGGAAAGAACTGGCTCTTAAATACGGATGGAAGGCCAAAAAGTTTGGTAATTGTAATTTTCCTTGCTTTTAGTTTTTTGTATATGGAGAACTTGGTTGAACCCTTATGACTTGTTCACGAAATTAGGTCTACCTGCGGGCTCTGTTGCTATCCCCGAGGAGGACGTTTTGGCTGATTCAGGAAGCACTTACTCGAACAGGTATCTCCGGGCCTGTTTCGGGCATAAACACTTATTTACGGAGTCCCCATCCGGAGGATAAGCAACCAAAGAGAAGACGTTCCTTCGCAGTCAGGGAGAAGAATAAGAGGGAAAAGACTGATGCCCCCGAGCCCTATCCAGTGGCAATGATGATTGGTCCTTCTTCCGAGCCGGTCATAGACACTGTGATGATTGATTATGATGAAGAATCTAGTGATGAGGGAACGTCTCTACATAGAAGGCGACGATTCTCATCATATCAACAGGATGCTACAACCTGTTGAGATAGTTGCACCAACTGAAGATGATATCTCGGCACTTTGGGGAGAATATGATTTGGTAGAAAATGCCAACTCTAGTTTTCGGGCCCCAATTGTTGCATCCGGTGCTGTGGGGCTGAGTACCGGGTCCTTGCCGTCTTTGGTTGGCGAGCATCCAACAGCCAGCACTGCATTTGATGCAGCTGGTTCTCACTCTTAAACTCCATCAGCTTTATCTCCACCTTCACCAACACCAGCAACTGCTACATCACTTCCATCTTCATCCACTCTTCCACCAACAGTTGCTACATCACCTCCATCGGCTGCATCTGACCATGAAAAAAATGTTCCTCTTCCACAATCCCCAGTTCATGGGAATTTGGGGCAAAATTATGTTGCCCCTTCTGAAGATCCACAAAGGAGGAAGAACACTACTTTTTCAGTCTCTACCGGATGCAACTTGCTATCCCGGCCGGTGGAGCTTGCTAATTATCTGAAGCCTTTGGCTTTAGAAAAAGACTGGGAAAAGATTCAAGCACTCTTGAGAGAGTACTTGTTGAACAATGCCATGCATAACGCCGCAACGGTACGTTCTTTTCTTCCTTCATTACTTCTTCTACTTTTGTATGAATGTATTCTAAGTTTTACTTCTTCTTGTTTTGTAGGCCAACTTTCTTACTTCTAAGGGCCTTCAAAGGCTGATTCGTAAGAAGGAAGAATCTACTTCTGAACGGAACCAACTTTTGGCGAAACGAGACCAAACTGTTCTCCGCCTCTCAGAACTAGAAAACAAAGCTACTGAGACCGTTGTTTTGGAGGCTCGTTTGCAGCAAAGCGAGCAAGAAATGGTAACCCTGAGCTAAGAAATTGGCCCGCTGAGGGTTAGATTTGATAAAGCTAAGGCTAAATGGGCTGAAGTCCAGGACATCATTCTTGCTGCAACCGAACGCGAGGCTGCTACTGACGAAAAAGTGACTAACTTAGAAGCATCCTTGAACTCCAAACTCGAAGAGCTTGCTGCTGTGGGGGCGAAACACGCCCAGATAGAAGAAAAGTACAAGAAAACTATCGAGTATAATAAGATCTTTAATTCAACTATCCGTGACCTTGACGTCAGCCTCAAATCTCCTAGGTCCGCCCAGAAAAGCCTTTCTACCGAGGTTACCCAACTCAAAGAAGAACTTAAGCGCCAAGCAGCTTCCCTCGTTGTTGAAAAAACTTATGCCATGTACAGCATGAGGAGAAAAACCTTGGAGGAGGCCAAAGTTGGTATCATCGACTTTGATGCCGAAATTGCTAAAGCCCGAGAGCTTGAGTTAGCTACTAAAAATGGACTCCCGATGCATTCTGATGCTCCTGGTTCTTCTGGTTCTGGTTCAGAGTTTTCAGAAACTGAAGAGGGATCAGAAGGTGACGATGTTGAAGACAAAACCGGGGAAAACGTCGAGCCATTGGTGGACCCACCTACTTCTCTCGGGAATGCGGACACTTCTCTTCCACCTGGTTCCGGAGACGCTGTAGTTTAGCTTTTCTTTTCTTTTTCCCATTTTGAACTTTTACCGTTTTGGCATGTTCTTGTAAATAAAGACATATTTTTTCTCAAGTATCATTTGAGTCTTACTTTTGTTTGAATATCCATGCAAGTCTTTAATCTTTGCATTTGCTCAAGAGTTCAACACACGTTTTCCTGTTTGCACTTTACTATGTGTAGACTATAGTCTCGAATGTGTTTTCCTCAAAGTACTTCGGTTCCGAACATTATCCCTTTTATGTGAGGGTTTCTATAAGTATTTGCGTAAGTTTAGTTTTTGCGTCCTTTTCATATGTGGCTTCGGGTATATTTTTCCCCGAAGGAATTTTTGATTCCGGGCATAGATTTTTCCGGAACCAACCCTTTAACGTGAGGGGTTTTATAAGAGAGGGCCCTCTTATGTTTATGGTGCTCTTGTAGAGGACGTCTCATGTTCATTACAACACTAACGTTTGAAGTACTTATTTAACTTTCAAATGACAAAGTTTATTCATCGTTCAGACAAGAAACAAGATAAAAACAAAAAGATTTCATTTTATTCCTTGTATTTTCAAAGAATACATAAGCATTTGCTATATTGAAAAGAAATTGC